TGCAAGCTGGAGAGCTGGGAGCGCCTTGGTTCTGCTTTATTTGAACAGTGTGGTACAGCTGGTACTACCTCCGGGTGCACAGCCCCTTCCCTGCTGTAGAAACACTCTCCCGTACCCCGATGATTTCTCTTTAGCTAAGTTTGTAGAAGTGGCTAGAACTCTCAGCGTAGGAAGTCATCCCAACAAAATTAAAGTCAACTAGTCCCTGTTCGCTCCTGTGTACTCATCTGAGCAGGTAAACCAAGAATATGCCTTAGGACACTATGGAACCCAGACTGAGGGTCTTATTTGGAGAGAAGGGACTACAGGTAACCCTAGTCCTATTTTTGTCAAAGGTTAATTTGTTTCTGGGGCACCTGGGTGGCTCAGTGGGTTGAAGCCTCTGCCTTCGGCTCAGGTCGTGATCCCTGGGATTGAGCCCCACATTGGGCTCTCTGCTCAGCGGGGAATTTGCTTCCCTCCCCCCCCCCCCCCGCCTGCCTCTCTACCTACTTGTGATCTCTGTCAAGTAAATAAAAAGTCTTTTTTTTTTTTAAAGATTTTATTTATTTGACAGATCACAAGTAGGCAGAGAGGCAGGCAGAGGAGGAGGAGGAAGCAGGCCCCCTGCTGAGCAGAGAGCCCGATGCGGAGCTCGATTCCAGGACCCTGGGATCATGACCTGAGCCGAAGGCAGAGGCTTTAACCCACTGAGCCACCCAGGCGCCCCAATAAAAAGTCTTTTAAAAAAAATAATTTGTTTCCTCTTTCCTTTGCTTCCCAGAGAGTAGTCCGTAGGTCACCTGCAGTAGAAATCCCTAGAGATGATGCTTTTTTTTTTTTAAGGAATGCTTTTAGATTTTTTTTTTTTCTTTTTAACTTATTTTTTTGAAGGGATGCTTTTTAAAAAGTGCAGATGCCTGGTACTACCACCAAGACCTATTAAACAGAATCTCTGGCTGTGGAACCCAGGAATCTGCATTTTATCAATCTTTCCAGTTGATAATCCCTGTCAGAGAGAGGACAGGAGAATGCTCCCTAATGATGTTATCCGTGCAGAGTTCACTAGGGCTATTTTATACGTGGAGTCAGTCTGACAGATACATGAGCTACGTCCTTAGCTGAGTTTTCCTGTGCTGCAGCCAGCATAGATGAAACATCTACTCTTTTTAATGCTAAGTTTTTTTTTTTTAATTTATTTATTTGAGAAAGACAGCAAGAGAGAGCATGAAAGGGAAGAAGGTCAGAGAGAGAAGCAGACTCCCCATAGAGGTGGGAGTCCAATGTGGAACTTGATCCTGGAATCGATCTGGGATCACGACCTGAGCCGAAGGCAGTCGCTCAATCAGCTGAGCCACCCAGGTGCCCAATGCTAAGTTTTCTTTAAGTGGTTGGCCTCACCAAGTGTTGGTGAAGGTGTGGAGAAGTCAGAACTCCCATGGCTTGCTGGCAGGCACGTAAGATGCAGCAACCACTGTGAATAGTCTGGCAGTTCAATTAGACACAGTGACTACATGACCTACTCCCAATGCCACTCTCAGGCATACACCAAAGAGAAATGAAAACAGAATTGAAGTGGTAACTGTTTCTCCATCATTATCTACATGGAAATACCAAGTTAGTCTCTTCATTACTTTTAGTGTCAGTTAACAACACTGTTCCCTACTTTCCTCACTTTAAGTTCTAGAAAACATCAAAACTCCCCCACCACCCCAGCAGGAAATATCCCCTAAATTAGCATTCTTTTGCTTTGGCCAATAAAACTGAAAACCCAAACTGTTGCCCTGCCATTCCTGTACTGCTTTATGTGATATTCTGCAGGTTAATTTTGTAATAATAAAGGTAGGGAATTTTTCAATTAGCAGACTGGGGCCAGAGTGAGGGACAAGTAGTGATCTACCCCAGGTATTACTTGAACGGTCATCAACAAGCTTCCCCTAAGACGATAAATACCTTTTGGGGGAAGTTTCTGGTCTTTCCATTCTCATCACAGATCATGCCTTCTACTATTACAAACTCAAACAGTGACTTAAACAATTTTTTAATGCAACTACATATATAGAAAAATGTAGCTATCTACACATCTCACTAGACCATCATCCATGCAGACCTCAGTGTGAGGTCACTCCTGGAGCTCGCACAGTCCCAACTCCGTAAGAGCCCAGGATACCAGACTGGCAAGGGGCCTCCTTTCCATACCCCCACAGCTACTCTCCCAGGAATCATTTACACTTCATTTCTTGGAAGATCTATGCACAAATATCCTGCTTTGTATTCCTCCCTCACCAGCCACCTCCATGAGCTAAATGCTTTTCTGAAAGGAATAGCTCTAGCGACCCCCAGGTGGCTCAGTTGGTTAAGTGTCTGCCTTAAGGCTCAGTTCATGATCCCAGGGTCCTGGGGATCAAGCCCCCCCTCAGGCCCCTTGCTCAGTAGGGTGCCTGCTTCTCACTCTGTGTCCCCTATCTCAAATAAATGAATCTTTAAAAAAAAAAAAAAAAAAAAGGAAAAGCTCAAATAGACCAAATTTCAGTTTTTCCTTTTTCACTTCATTAGCTCTTTAGTATCTGTAATACCTTATCAAAGTGGATATATCTCCCTAATCATCACCTGGTGATATGTGCTTACACCTGGACTAGCAAGTTAAAGACACTGTATGTCACTGCCCCACAGGTGGTATCCCCATGCTTCTAGTGCAAAACAGAAAATGATACCCCATCCTCAAACACTTCACTTTCCTCTGTGAAAGCATCAGTAATTTTACATTACAGATGAGAAAACTAAGGGATTAATGGCTAGTATGCCATGTTCCTTTGATCTTTTTACCCAGAACTAAGCAGTCTGTATTATTACATGCAAAGAAGAAAACATTCTTGAACACTCAAGCATGCCATGCCAGCCTTCATGCAGCCAAATGTTTAAACCTTCCAGTTACTGTGATTACTCAGCTTTTCCTCCCAAGACCTGTCCTCCTTGGGGAAAGTCTGTTAAACCAAAACTGCCCATTTATGCAACAAGAAAGCTCTAAGAAGCCAAATCATGATTTGAGACATGTTGAGAACAGAACAGAATGCACGTAGGCACAGACTCATGACCCAAGGACAGACAAAACCACAAGAGTTACCGAGCTCCTGGCAAAAAATGAGGGCTAGTGTGTTCCTCTGGAAGCTAAGAGTAGTCTTTACATTGTCTGCCTCATAAAGGTTTGAGAACAGTCCCAATTTCTAAAGCAATTCACTTGGCACTACAACTTTTATGATTGGGAAACAGATGTTTGTTCAGGATTAAGAAAGTATGTGTCATCTAGGGCATGTAATTTTCAACCATTTAGAATAAACCACAAGATAGGAGCCTTGGGAGTTTTGAGGCAGAGAGGCAAGGTCATGGTCCACTGGGATTGAGGGGGGAGGAAAAAAAAACAAACCTGTTAATAGTCCAAGAAGTGTTTGGGAGACAGTTGCTCTAGAAAATGCCAGTTACTGGGGGCAGATGGGCGAGTGGATGGACAGGTTCCATCCTGGAAGCCCATGAATCGTGGCAGTCCACCTTCCTGGAACCAAAGTTGCCTCTCAACTTCAAGCCTCTCAGGGAGTCCCTCTCTTCCAATTCGATTTCTGGAGTTACCTCAAGGGGAAAATTGTTTTGTAACTTTGTAAGCTTAAGCTTTGATATGTCTCACTCACATCAAAGGTGCATGTAGTTATATGCTGCCTCCTTGTTTTCTTGGGAAGAACGAGGGAACCAGGGTAGAAAACGGAGACCAATCTTAGACTTCCTGAAGAGCAGCCTCGCTAACCTTATTTTAGCAGTAACAGACAGAAGCTGGTCACTGTTTCACCATTTGCAAACTGTTTTTCTAACAGTTCAGCGTACTGCAGCTTTGTTAAGGAGACTCGTGAGATTTCCTCCCAACTGACCAACATCGAGGGGCTCCAAGTCGGAACACCTAGAAAGTGAGCAGCTTTCCTGCTGAGGTTCTTAAGTCTGACTACTCCCATCTGGTCTTCCAACAGTATCTCACCAACTAGTGTGAGTGACTTTCTCCCAAAGTGAGGACACAGCCAAGTCCAGGCCTGCTGAGAATGGACACTGACCAGTCTCATAGTTCAGGGCTCACAGTTTTAACAGCCCCTTAGCAAAAAATGCCTGCTGCCTTTATAGGAAACTGACGCAAAGTGTCACTCACTCGCTTCCTTTCAACTTTTGATTCCTTTTCAGCAAGGCAGGTAGCGATGAGCAGCCTTATACTGGCTTAAAAACCCCCTCTCCCAAGGTTGAGTAAATGGGGTATGATAAATGGGGCACCTGGATAGCTCAGTCGGTTAACCTTTGGCTCAGGTCATGATGCCAGGGTCCCAGGACTGAGTCCCGAGTCTGGCTCCCTGCTCAGCAGAAGTCTGCTCACTCTCTCAAGTAAAATCTTTAAAGAAAAGTTAAAAAAAAAAAATGTGGGGAGATAAAGGCAGTAACTGTCCCCTCATAAAAATTACTGTATACACATTAGTTGTATTTTGTTGAAAACCTATCATCAGGAGCCTGGGTGAGCGTCTGCCTTCAGCTCTGTTGGGGATTCCTCTCTTGAGATCAAGCCATTCTGACTTCCTCAGCAGGGAGCCTGCTTCTCCCTCTCCCTGTCTCCCTCCCTCTCTTGGTCACATAAATGAATGAAATCTAAATAAATGGAATCTTAAAACAATCTTCTACCAAACACTCCATTCCTAGCACTAGTCTTCCAATGTTATTGTGCTAGCCAATTCCCCACAGGGCTGACTGGAACTCATGTGTGTGTGTTAATAACCCTGTCATGCAGGCCAAGCAGCTCTAGGAAAGCAACACACAAAAGCACATGGAACACACAGCATAAAATCGATCTATTCTGCAGTGAATTTTATTGAATTCATAGTGTGCCTTCTTTCATGGGGGGGGGGGGGAGGTTGTACAGGCATGTTTTGTGAGACAAACCAGTGAGAAGAAGCCTGCTCAGATCAGACCACAGAGCAGACACTAGCCCACAACACAGCCCAGGGGAAGGTACTTTTATTCAATACAAACAGCAGAAATGGTAACAATGGATGAGACCATAAATGCATGGAAACTTTCTGGGAGTCCTGGCGAGACTCTGACCAACCTAGCCTTCTTTTCTTACCAGCCAGGTATAAACAACAGAACTCATCTGCTAAGGCCAAACATTTTAAAGCTGACTCCAGTTAGAAGTGACTACAGCGGAGGACCTTTTCTCTAGCTAATTGCTTCCCCAACTCAAAGGTGTTTAGCAGGTTAATGGCAACATCACCAAGTCTCTGGCAGGCTGCACCCGTCCTGGTGACAAGGGCAGCTCTAATGTGTTCTGCGCTGAGGCTGCTGGGCCTCCTGACTGCTCATGTCCTTCGGTGCACCTTGGTCCTGAGCATTCTGAGACTCGGTCAGCTGAGGATAAAAGGGACCTACCAGCCAGTTGAGAGGCGTGTTGTTAACAAGATAATCCATCACATCATCTAAAGACTCCTTCATTTTCTGCAGCTGCCCCTTGCTGGAAGTGAGGAGGCCGTCAGACACTTCCTTAAAAGAGGCAGCATTGCGGAAGCCAGAGTAGATGTCACCAGCCATGACCCCCAGGTGACTAGCCTGGTCTTGGATGTTCTGTGGTAACCCCTGGAGACCGGACAGCAGGGTGTGGCACGTGGTCTGGAGCTGCTGCGTCAGGCTGCAGGCAATGGCCAGAGTCCGTGACTCAATGTGCTGAAAACACAACAGTTGACACATCAGCAGGGGCTCCAACAGTGCTATTTAATCCATCAGTTCAATTTCAGTAAACAGGTTTTGTGTCCACATATACGTGGATTCTTTGACTTTTAAAAGCCCACATAAGATCCCTGAGTAGAGCAGTGTTATGCACTTCTCAGGGATATGCATACAAGCTGCTGCAACGCAAAGAACCACCTCCTAGGACTAGGACCACGGCGTGCTACTGCTGCATCCACAACTTTAGTGCCCTTTCACCTAGTTTATGCACCCAGGAGATCCTGGCTTAGCACGGACCTCTTCCAGCAAGCCCTGACTCACCCATCCTTATTCTAAGGCTGAGTTAGGCTCCTTTCATCTGTGTTCACTAGCACCTTGTTTATGTCATCAAAAGCAGTACAAGTATCTGTATCCCCCGTTAGTCTGATCTGTACCCAGTAGGAGGGCGAGCCCCATGTTTCCCACTTAATAGTATTCTGTTACAGGTAATACATGTGTCTGTAGATTATTAAAGTTACTGCACATTTTAGTTTTTTGTCACTTAACCTAGGTACATAGTGATGTTCAAACTTCTGACAGAATAGGGCGCCTGGGTGGCTCAGTGGGTTAAGCCGCTGCCTCAGCTCAGGTCATGATCTCAGGGTCCTGGGATCAAGTCCCGCATCGGGCTCTCTGCTCAGCAGGGAGCCTGCTTCTCTCTCTCTGCCTGCCTCTCTGCCTACTTGTGATCTCTGTCAAATCAATAAATAAAATCTTTAAAAAAAAAAAAAAAAAACTTCTGACAGAATATAGTATTCTGAGGAATGATGGGAAAATGAGAATGAAAAATTGAGTAACATCCTCAGAAACTGTAGGGGTCAAGATGTCTTACCTCAGCACAGTGGGACTCATCTGTATCATCATAGCCAATGCTTCTCTTCCACTCCACCCAAGAGAGATAGAACTTATCCTGAGCACCTTGAATTTTCTGGTTGGCACTATGCACATTCTTCCTTGCAAATTCAATCTAGAACGCATTGAAATAACACGAAGGAAAAAAACAGTCATTCAGGTTAGCCTGTTGCTCTCAGGTCTATTTATCGATCAGGTTTTAATATAAAAAACAAGAATTTCCGTGAGAGTTTAAGGAGAGATCCCTGCTATTCATTTTATTGGTTTTTTTGTAAATCAGCGAAGTCATCATAGTTCTTTACTGCCTGTTTCACTACTAAACCACAGTCTCCAAGTTATCTCCAGTTCAACAGAGGTAAAGCAACTCAAATTTAGTACATATATTCACAGAAGATAAAATCACCAAAGGAAAAGGAATTAAAACCTCCTCTTCCCTGTTACCAGCTACCTCTTTCCCCTTCCAAGAAACCAGTTTCTAATGGCAGGACATACGGTTCTGTAACTTGGCAACTTTCAAAGGCTACACAATAGCTCTTTTATGATGTAGCAATTTAGTTTCCTGTAAGTTGACAGGCCTTGCTTATAGGTTTTTGCAACTCGAAACTTCTGCAAGTATCTACAGAACACTTCCAAAAATAAAACTGCTCAAGTCATAGATGTAACTTACCCAGAACAGTCCCTATATCTCCCAGAAGTGCACAAGTACACGCATACCTCCTTCCCTTCCCTACTTCCATTGCCCACAGCATCAAGCTTTGCCAGTGTGAGAGGCCGAGAGAGCATTGCTTCCTAGAGTTCAGCTCCCTATACCTGCTTTTCTGTGAGTCTGTATCCTCTTTGCCCATTTTACTCTTGGGTTTTTCATTAAGATTAAAATCCTTAGATTTCATGACTGCATCTACTCTCATTCGTTGAAGTAACTCAACTCACCTTGGCTCCCTTTAAATTAGGTCTTACTCACCAGATTCACAGTGGAATGGAGCTGAGAAATGGTCTCTTGACTTTTTAGCTTGGCTTCTTGAACCCTGTTGAGCGCCTGCTGGTAGGCACGTGAGTGGAGCTTGGTAGACAGGGATCCCAATCGAACGTAGTAACTTGGCTTCTGTACTGTATCAAACCCTTCAACTTTTTTTGCTTCTTCTTCTGAAATCAGAAGGAAGGGGGGGGGACCATAAGGGGTCACAGCTAGTGATGACGCCTGGCTTCTTATCTGGATCTTACCTCGTCCATTCTACCCACCCACCTAGCAATTAGGCTCTCATTTCCCCAAGACAGCTCCTGCCTGCTGCTGGGCTTAACCACCCAACACCTAAGTTATCACTGCATCCTGCATTTTCATCTACACATCTCGATCCGTTAGTCAGCTTCTTGGACAACACAGTATTTGGCACTAAATGCCTAACGATTCTATAAAGTAGACCATTAAAGACAATCCATTTGCAGAAAATTTCTCTAGGGTAATTTTTCTCCAGAGTTTTCAAACTTACTATGTGGTATTCAATGTGAAACTGAAGCCTGCTTTAGGAGAAAGTCTACAGAGACACCTTATCGTTTGCCTGGGAAAGAAAAGGGAGATGGACTACAAACAGGCAAAAAGGGTCTTCTGGCATGACAAAAATGCTGCACCACTGGACTGTGGTGATGGCTGGGCACTCTAACTCAGACTCACACAGGTGACTTTTATGGCGTATGAAGCAGATCTCAATGGAGTAGTTTTAAAAGACTGCTTTTAAGATATAAACCATTAGTTCAAGACAAAAATCCAATTACCTAGCTCTTTAAAAACAAACAAACCAAAAAAGATCTTATTTACTTATTTAAGAGAGCAAATGTGACAGATCAGAGGCAGAGGAGCAGACTTGTCACTGAGCAGAGAACCCAATGCTCCCAGGACCCCGAGATCATGATCTAAGCCGAAGACAGAGGTTTAACCAACTGAGCCACCAGGGCACGCTAACCAATTACCTAGTTCTTTCTCTGTGAGAGGGAGGTATTGGTCCACCAGCAACTCAGATTTGGTGAGAGCATTCTCTACTCCATTGCTCACCAGATGCATCATCCGACTTCCCAAGACTGTGTTAATGCTGCCACTGACCACAGACTTGGTCTTCTCCACACTGCCCGTCACCGCTCCTTTGGTCTTGTCCATCACCCCAGTGATGGTGCTGGCCATGGAATCCTTGGCCCCAGTCACCGTAGTTGTCACAGCATCTTTTGCCCCAGTTACAGCGCCCCGGGCATTGGCAACAACCTATAAATAGAAAAACGCTGCCGGGCTGAGGAGCAGCACAGACATAAACACCAACTACAGCAGCCTCGTTGAAGTGCTAAAGGAGGAATCTGGCCCTTTCACTTCCAGCATTAGGTGTGAGGCAAGTCACTTAGAGTTGGTTAAGCCTCCATTTCCTCATCAGCTCTATCTGCTCTACCTGCCACTGCCACCATTCAAGGGTTGTTGGAGCAGCTATTGAGGTAAAATGATGTAAAATTTGTCAAAGTATTTTTTAAAACTCAATGAATGTGTACTAAGGCACAAAGAGTACTACAGAGAAGAAAGGGCACTTTCCATGTTGACGTACTTATAGGGAGAGGAGCTCACGCATGGCTGTGAGCAGACAGTACAGCACGTGCCCACCTGGCCTGATGCACAGGGGCAGAGCGGTCATTCTCCATTCTACTGGATACCAAGTAAGAAAAGGTTCTGAACACCACATGGGGACGAGTTACTTGTGAGAGCAGTACCATCTAGAGGCAAAACCACAAATAAAGATCAGAATAAAAGCATTCCAGTCCAAAAGCGGCTAGCTCATCTCTGCTTCTTAGTGGTAACCGGATAGTAATTCAGCAAGTAAGGGAGTGGCCTTCCAAAAATACATTCGGGAGAAGAGAGTATTTTCTGTTTATGATACGCACAGCCTGCGCTCAACAGACAGAACGTGAAAATGTGTGAGGCAGCAAGCCTCAGCATTCCCACCCAAGCTCACCTGGTTTGTTGGCTGATTCAGAATAGGCAGTTTCTCCTCAATCCGGTCTAGCCCCTTACACGCATAGATATTGGCAACCGCAACTAGAAGAATTACAAATGGGGAAAACGTTAAGTGCAGATAAGAATACATACATACTACAGTGTACCTTGAAACTTAGGCCTTATTATAAAAAAATAGCAAAACTGTTGACCCTCATTTACGATACGATGCATTGCCTGGTGTCTAGCTCAGCAGCAGGCTGCTGCCAACGCTTTTCTACTGACCGGGAAATACGGGGGTGGAAGGAAGCAGCAGGCAGAGGCAGCAGCATGCCAGGTAAGAAGCTGGCTAAGCAGCTTATTCCTCATCAACTGGTATCTAAGGTTAATGCCAAGGGAAGCCAGGCTTCACCAGAACCATCATTCCAGGAGTGAAGTAACTGAAATTCCCAAAATGAGCATTTCCACTCCATTTTAATCCCCACTTACACTTTCCAGAAGTGGCGGCATATTCTGGTTTGTCACTAGCCAACAGAATGCGAACAGCACACCCTGGATCTGGCCAGCAAGGCCCATATTTCAGTCTAAGCTTCCCCTCCAATAATGACCCACGCACTAGTAAGTTCATCTGGGAAGGAGCAGAGTTTGGAAAACCAGGCTCTAAAGCTTTCTATTATAGTCCCAAAAGTCCATGATCCAACCATTTAGAGGAATGATTTAAACCTTTACTCAGTTAAAAAAATAATCTCAAAAAGAAACTTTATAAAGCAGTTAGTAATAAGAAATGGATCCTTCGTACACTACTGGGTGGACTGTAAAATGGTGTAGGGGCTTTGGACAACAGTCTGGTAGTTCCTCAAAAGCTTTACACAGTATTAGAGGACTCAGCAGTCTCACTCCTAGGTATACAAAATACGTAATTTGGTGTCATTAAGTTCATTCACAATACATGCAATTATCGCCCTATTATTTCCAGAACTTTTTCATCATCCTAAACAGAAACTGGTATGAGCTTCCTTTCCGAGGTGATGGAAAAGGTTCTAAAATCGATTGCAAAGATACTTACACACCTCTATGAATAAAATAAACACTTCATTGTACACTTCAAGTGGGTGAATTGCAGCATATGTTAATTGCAGCTGAAAGATACTACTTTTTAAAAATAGTTCATGAAGTCCTTTATTTCAGTTCACCCACTAGCTCCTCTTGTGATCTCAGCTGTCAGTACAGAGGCATCTCTAGGTAACTTTCTCTCTCCTGAACATCTATTGTTATGAGGCAGGTCTTCTCTAACAATGAGGGCCACGTGGCAGTTTCTAAGCAAAGGCAGCAAGTGCCTGGGGAAAGGCTAAGTATTCCCTGACCTTGCCTGTGTATGCTAGGGGTGTTAAGGCTGGCATTCACATATTCCAGCCAGTTCTGGGCTCACCCCTGCCCCATCCCTTGGGACAAATTTTTTTTTTTAAGATTTTATTTATTTATTTGACAGAGATCACAAGTAGGCAGAGAAGCAGGGAGAGAGAAAGGAGAAGCAGGCTCCCTGCTGAGCAGAGAACACGATGTGGGGCTCGATCCCAGAACCCTGGGATCATGACCTGAGCTGAAGGCAGAGGCTTTAACCCACTGAGCCACCCAGGCGCCCCTCCCTTGGGACTGAATCTTGAAGGAAGAAATCAAACTCACTCACTTTGTGGTTCTAGCTTCTGGATGATGGGCAGAGCACTCGTCACAGCCACGGAAGTGATGGTCTTCACACCCTTCTCTGCCATCTCACACACAGACTTCAAGCACGGGTACTGATCCTTTGTACTGATATAAGCCGAGGAGACAAGGTCGTACGTGGAGCTCACCAAGGGTAGGTTGACTACCCGAGTCACCACACTCTGCAACCAAGTGGAGGGACGTGTTAATGCCTTCAAAACACCCGGGGAGGGAAAGAGATCAAGACACTATTTAAAATTCATACCGGTTGTGTATCAACTGCAACAGATGCCATTTTTCTTCTCAGAGAAACAGGATCTGTGGGAAAGACACTGCTTTCAGGACATCGGGACAAGACTCTCTCAAATTCATTCCCAAGTAAACGCAAATTTCAAGAAGAGATAAAAATTCAAGCTGAGGTTGTCTTCTGCACTTCTCCCCACTCTCTAGTTCTCAGCTCTCCCCCGGGCAAACACGTTCTAAGACCCGCTTTCAGAAATTATGGGTAAAGTTCCATAAGAAAAGAGGATCTGCAGGGGATAAAAGCAAAGACACTGCACTGTTGATATGTTGGTCTTGTTTATTCACCAGGATACTAGTAATGCCTTTCCAAGAGGATCATCTGTTCACAAACACATTGGAACCAAGTTAAAACCCATATTAAAACCAGAGAGAGGGGTGCCTGGGGGACTCAGTCAGTAGAGCGTGTGACTCTTGATCTGGAGGTTGCTAGTTCAAGCCCAACGCTGGGTGCAGACATTACTTAAAAATAAAATCTTTTAAAAAGAGAGCTTTCAAGTACAAGACATTTTTGACGGTCAAGACTTGACTCTGGGGGGATTTATTCCTTCCTTGGGAAGGGCTGCATTTAGTCTAGTGGAAACTAAGCACAAGAGCTCTGAGCAAACACTCCAGGAGGCTCTTCCATGTAATCTGTGCCTCCAATGACCCGTATACACCCACATAAAACCGCCTCACTGCTAAGCAGCAGAGTGGGAAAAACCTGCACCGCCCGCTGGCCACCGCTCGGTCAAAGCTAGACAGTTCACGCTCCGCCCGCGCCGAGGGTCCCAGGGCTCCAGGAAATGAGTAAGAGCCCTTCTTAGGGCGCAAGTCAGGCGCCAGTGCCCACAGCCTCGCTGTCGCTACTTCCTAGAGAAATGCTGAAGCAGATTTGCTAGCGCTCACTTCCTTTTCGGTAACGGACTTGCGGGACAAATGGAAACTGTTACCCCGCAACCAAGCCCAGAAGCTACACCCGCACTGCAGCTGCGAGCGATGAGACTCGAAGAACAAAAGCCAAGGGGGAAAGCGCAGGCCCAGGAGACCGCCCCCTTCCCGACCCCGACCCGGAAACCGCCCCGAGGCGGCGAGGCGGGCAGGCTCCGGGACCACCGCGCAGCGTCCCAGCCTGCAGCCCCGCGGGATCCCCGCGCCAATGCGCGGCGCACGGAACGGGGTGCGCGCACCTACCGACCCACTGCAGCGGAGAGCTCACGGCCCGGCGAGTCCCGCGCGGCGTGCGAAGTGGGCGGCGCGGGCGACCGGCGGGTAATGTACCCGCCCGCCCCGCCCCCCGCGCCTCAGCAGCACGTGATCCGCTGCCCGGGACGCGGAACTGCCCCAGGCCCCGCCCGGAGTGAGCGCCCTGCTGGGGGAGGAGCGGGGGGGAGGAGCGGGGGGGAGGAGCGAGGGGGAGGAGCGAGGGGAGGGGCGGGGGGAGGGGCGGGGGGGGGGGGGGGGGGGGGGGGGGGGGGGAGGGGCGGGGGGAGGGGCGGGGGGAGGGGCGGGGAGGCTGGTGGCGGCGGAGTCGCGCGCCCCAATGGGCCGTAACCTGTTGATTCCCGGCAGTCCTCAAAATAGGACGCTCTTTAAAAAACGCAAACCCCGGCTCCTAGGCTTATTTTTAGCAAGTAAATCACTTCTGAAGTTTGGTGAAATTCTAACCCGATGACGGACCCGTGGAGACTGTTTTATGGCTTCTGTGTTTTTAAAGTCAGTTTTTCAAATGTATTTCTCATTTAAAGCTGAGTCGCAGTTTCCAAAAAGGGCCTTGGAATACCGTCGGTTGGCCCCCTTCTTTTTCTCTGAGCGACACGCCAAGTCCGAACCACTCCAGGATGATAGCGGTCTGTGCTGACAAGGCAAGATGGTCTTTTTTCTTTTTCTTTTTTTTTTAATTGTAGGTTATGCCTTTTAAAAGATAGTTAGGAAGTTAAGTCGCCAACATTTGAGTTCCAGGCTTTTTGCCTTTAAAATGCAGGGACTTGCACCAGATGATCTGAGCAAACAAGTTGTGACAACGGCCCCGACAGGGTAGGAGTTCCGTGGACTTCCCCTCCCGCACCCCGACCTGCGGCAGGGGATTTCAGGGGCTGCTGCTGCCGGCCTTGGCCCTCTCGCCTTCTTTCAGGGGGAACGTAAACAAGGGACAGTTGGCAGGTGGCAGGGGATCATATTTAAAGCTCCAAACTGACCGAGTAAAAATGTATCCCTTCTACAAGACCAAATTCATACATATAAATTCCCTCAGCTGGAAAATACGGTATTTCTCCCTCCCTCTCGCACCGTATGATTCAAAATAAAACACAATACCAAACCATAAGATAAATGTTAGAAAATTCAAAAAGGCACTGAATTGGTTTTTAGGTTCCCCCCCACCCCCGCTATGTGGTTGACATTTTCAATGCTTCAGGCAATCAAATTCTTTCTCTATCTCTGTCTCTCTCTCTCTCTCTCTTTTTCTTTTTTGTGTTCCAGCTTTGTTTCAGCTATAAGCAGATGTTTGGTGTGCCAGTTGTGAATCTAACCCCTGGTCTGATGTAAAATAGTAAGAATGTATTGACTTTTGAGTAATGACTCCTTGGATCTTTTTCTTTCTTCCTTTCTTTTCTTTTTTATTTTTTTACTTCTCCAATTTGACCTCTCATTTTGAAACCTAACACTCTTGCCCTTTCACCTACTTTTTTTCCCCTTTCACCTACTTTTTTTTTCCCTTTCACCTACTTTTGAGTCCTGCATCCTCCTTAAAGAGGCCAAGCCTACAAGAGCACCTACAACCCTCTTTTATCTTCCTGAGTCAGTGAATGTGGAGGCAGCAGCAAGAATAATGTCCAAGTCTTCGAGGTAATTCTGATAGCCTCTGAAGTTTGGGAATCATTGTTTCATACTAGTGTTTCTTTTGTACTGTGGGAGGGGATTTGAGCCTCAATCAGAGTCCCCTAGGGTGCTTGTTCAACTTTCTGCCTCCTTCCCCAGACCTGCTTAGCAGGGATCTCTGGAGAGTGAGACTCAGGAGCCTGTGTTTTTAATACGCCTTTTGAGCCCCTGTACTCTTCACATACAGTTTCACATGTTCCTCACATTTCAGCCTCGGAACAGTCTGGAACCCCATCTTATTAATGAAGGAACAGCCTCAGACACGTTAGGGGATTTGCTCACAGTCTTAGAGCTGAGTAAACAGCAAATGATGCAGGACTACATCCTACAGACATGACCTCGGCTGGTTACCTCATTTCTCTTTGCCTTAGCTCCCTCACCCAGAAAGCAGGAATACTAATAGTCCTCCGTGCTCTATAAAGGACATATGGGTGTTTACTCGGTTTTCAACTTTTCTGGGGCTTAAAATGTTTCAAGAGACAAGGTAGAGGAAATAATGTAGCAATGAAAGAAAATGATCAGACCTGTAATCATCTGCAGTGTAAGATAAACCACAGACAAGTAACACTGTACAAAACAAGCAAACTAAACTCTGCTGTTAGAAGTAAGGAGGACAGTTCCTTTGGGGGCTAATAAGGACTAGTGAATGGGTGCAGTCATGAAATATCCTTTGAGTGATGCTAATTTTTTCTTTCCTCCTTCTTCTTCTTCTTTTTTTTTTTTTTTTAAGAGGAAGCGTGAGAAAGAGCACACACCACACACGGGAGACGGGGGGGGGGGGGGGGGGGGGTGTGTGCAGAGGGAGAGGGAAAGCAAGAATCGCAGGCAGGCTCTGCACTCAGCAGGAGCCCGATGCCTGGCTTAATCTCCTGACTCTGAGACTATGACCTGAGCAAAAAGCAAGAGTCACTTAACCAGCTGAGCCACCCAGATGCCCCACTGCTAATTTTTTCTTGTGCTGGGCACTAGCGACATGTCTGTGCTCTTTTCGTGAAAGTGTATTAAACTTATATGAATTTATGTATTAATATATATAAAATATATTAAACCTAAATATTTTTTGCATGTATGTTCTACTTCTCTAGATGAGTTTTGAAAAGTTGAGAAAAGAGGCGCCTGAGTGGCTCAGTTGGTTAAGCATCTGCCTTTGGCTCAGGTCATGATCCCAGGGTCCTGGGACTGAGCCCCTCAGTCGGCTCCCCACTCTGTGGAGAGCCTGCTTCTCCCTCTCCCTCTGCCTGCCATTCTGCCTACTTGTGCTCTATCACTCTGTCAAGTAAATAAATAAAAATCTTTTTAAAAATTTTTTTTAAAGTTGAGAAAAAAGTATAGTTGTGCTTCCTTCATAAATTTTTGCAAGGAAGGACGCCTGGGTGGCTCAGTTGGTTAAGCCGCTGCCTTCAGCTCAGGTCATGATCCCAGCATCGTGGGATCGAGTCCCACATCGGGCTCCTTGCTCAGCGGGAGCCTGCTTCTCCATCTGCCTCTGCCTGCCACTCTGTCTGCCTGTGCTCATTCTGACAAATAAATAAATAAAATCTAAAAAAAAAAAAAAAATTTGCAAGGATTTTTTTTTAAGATTTTATTTATTTATTTGACAGAGATCACAAGCAGGCAGAGGCAGGCAGAGAGAGAGGAAGGGAAGTAGGCTCCCCGCTAAGCAGAGATCCCAATGTGGGGCTCGATGCCAGGACCCTGGGATCATGACCTGAGCCAAAGGCAGAGGCTTTAACCCACTGAGCCACCCAGGCACCCCCTTTTGCAGGGATTAAATGAATCAACATTAGGTACCTAGAAATGGTAGCTATTATTTAATGTTTTATAACCACACCCAGAGCTGTTTTGTCCAAGAGCCGTACTAGGCATTGAGCTGAAGAGAGCTCAACTCACAGGGGAATCAGAAGGGGCTCCTAAGGACCAGCAGCATCCCAAGCCCTGCCTAGTCTTCCTGAACTACAAAGTATGAGAGACCCTGTTGACAAAGAAACCTATTCTAGAGTTTATAGCAACTTAGCCTCTTTGAGTGTATAACTGATACAAAGTAATAGTGAAATAGCAAGAAAAAAAAAAAAAAAACTGCGAATGAAGTTTTCTCTTCTAGAGGAGGAGCAACAGGTTCTCTCCCTGGCTGTATTCTCTTTACTCTGGGGTTAGCACTGTGAGCTCCAGCTACATTCACCTGCATGGGCTCCAGCTACATTCACCTGCATGGGCTCCAGCATGCAGCCCTCTCTCCCTCCCAGCCCTCCCTCTTTGGACATAACCCTCAGTCTCTCTGTCTGGAATGCCTACCCATCTAGCAAACTCCACTCACTCTGGGCTACACAGCTCTTTTCTGTGAGGCCCTTCTCAGGCCCAAGGCCACAAACTCATATACAGCAGAACTGAGCCTCAGACCAGGTAGGTCTGGCTCCCCAATCTATGGTATGTGTTCTTAGGCAGTGAATAGAATTGACCTTTATGGGCCTCGATGCCTGTATAAAGGAATTAGATGGTATCTAGGGCTCCTTCCTGCTGTATTGTCTTAATCCAAAAAAATAACAATACATTGTTTATGGTATTACAATGTTCTTTCCACAAACATTATCCCAAACCAGTCAGGTGCCTTTTCCTATTCCTGTATCCTAAGACAACAGCGTTCAAAAACAGCAGAAATAATACTATGTTTGTTTCTTTTCATCTGAGCTGGAAATTAGATAAAAACTGCTTTTCTCATGAACCAGAGACAAAAATAAAGGGTCACAGCTAATGAGTCAGGAGGCCAGATGATTTCTGTTTTGACCAGTTCAAACTCCATGCAAACTGGTCACCAGCAGGAAGAATTTCTTGGATGACCCAATTAATCTACTTTCCTAATCATGCCCAAGCTTGATCCTCTGCCATTCTTCTTTTATTCCCTTCCAAATACCTTGGAGAGGAAAAGGCACTCCTCTTTCACATGGCCTTTAACTTGACTTAGTTTCCAAACAAACCAACCTCCTCCTCCTTCTCAAAGAATTTCATGTATTTTAGCCTGTCAGGGCCCCTTCCCTTCTCTATCTGAAATGGATAACTCAAGGAGAAGTATACAAAAGATAGATCTCATTAAATTTCAAATCCATGTCTTGTCTGATTTATTTCTTTTCCCTCCATCTTGTAGTTTGTTATAGATTTGAGATTTCACAAACTGAAATTATCCTGAGCTATCACAACTTCATGTATTTCTTTTTTTTTCTCTTTTAGTGAATGGAATTTTTTTTAAAGATTTATTTATTTATTTATTTATTTGGGCAAGGGAAAGAGTGAACACAGGTGCGGAAGGGGCAGAGGGAGAGGGAGAGAGAAAATCTCAAGCAGACTGAGTGTGGAGTTCCATGTGGGGCTTGATCCCATG